ATGGGAATGCTGCGAGATCTGTTTTGAAGTACTGAGTGCCTGTGCTGTCATCCATCACTTTGTTTTTCTGCTTCCCAGTAAGTTCACCTCCCTCCCACTTCTTCTCTCCTGACGTGTGCAGGATCGGAACATGAGACGCTGTTTGCACTCCAGACGTGCCTGTTCTGAGGGGGCAGGTTAAAGGGACACTATGCAAATACACAACCCAGATTAGAATTTGAATTTGTTCCCCATTCTTAACAATCAAAGAGGGTGTTACATGGGCAACTCCTGGTTTTAAAGCTTTCAAGCTCCCCGCAGCAGCCAGGTCTCGGCTTGGGTGCTGATTTTGATGCAGTAGACCGCTCTGGCCTGTTCCTGTTATACCATCTCCCTGATTAACTGAAGGGCTGATGTGTTCCTGTCTCTCTCAGGTCACTTCTTCCAGGTTTTGTGCAGGGACGTGGAGAGCAAGGGAGCTGTTTGGAAGGAGTGGGGCTCTGATTTATTGGAAGACGTTCTGTATGGCTCTGTATCTTCTCCTATTTGGCCATCCCTTCCTGAGGTTTTTTTGCATGGCACATTCCAAGCCATCTTCCAGTTAAGAATGGGGGGAAAGTGTTTCCCCCTCAACCCCAGATGGCTCCTATTGGTGCTTTAATATATGATCTGCCCGCTCCTCCCAGTCATCCGCTGACCAGCAACGGTCGGTTGTGGGAGGGTGGGAGTGCGCTCGCCTTTCCCTGTCTATCTGACTGCTGCAAATTTAACACGAGGCTCTGATGGCTTCCAAAGAAAACCAGCACCGCAAAGCTCCCACTGGCTCTGCACGAGGGAGGTGTCCTGGGCTCATTTAGTAGAGTTACTCCCTAGGCGCCGTAGAGCTCCTGGCGTTAGAACTGGGCAGAAAACCATTTCCTTGTCCTGGGAAATTTTTCACTATTTTGAACACTTTTCCTGGCCCGAATTAGTCAAAATCTTGCACCTTTTCACAAACTGCAACACTCCCCGCCCCCGAATATTTTGCATTGGGTCAATGAAAACGTTTTGATTTCAACCTTTTTTTTAACGTCTTTTTTTCTATAAATTATCGTACATTTCCAAACGAAAAGCCGCTCGGAGCCGAAAAGAACGTTTCGTTTGGAGAAATCCCCAAACAGGATGCGCTGGCAATTTTGAAGCTCTCCCCCCCCACTCCCCAAACAGGGAAGTCACCAGACCAGGCCCTTTGTTTTTGACAATTCAGCATTTTCCAGTGAAAAAACGTTTCATTGACGAATTCCCAGTGAGCTCACCTGACAGTGCTGGCTCCATCTGTGCCCATCCCCCAGAGGCTGAGCAAGATCATTGTACGCTCGCTGCTCTAGGACGCTTCATAGTAAGCAGCAGGTTTCCTTCTCCCTCCTCCACCCCTCTTCCTTAATATAGTTCTCCCAGCTCTTCCCTTAGGCTGGGATGTGCCATTGGATCCTGAAGCCACCATATTCCCCCTCTTTCCTTCCTTCCTGCTGCTCTCTCCCAAAAACCAGCCTTTGGGTACCTGCTACGTGTTCACCTTGAGATGAATGAATTGTGGGCCACACACTCTATAGGAAGGCTGCAGTTGTAAAGGGTTAATTATATGGTCCATGACGGGCTTCTAGGCACTAAGATAATACAGATGACAATATAAGCATGTTACAGGCGTTAGTTTCTCTTATATGCATCCGAAGAAGTGGGCTGTAGCCCACGAAAGCTTATGCGCTAATAAATTTGTTAGTCTCTAAGGTGCCACAAGTACTCCTGTTCTTTTTGCGGATACAGACTAACACGGCTGCTACTCTGAAACCAGAGATTTATAAGTCACCTGGAGCAGGTGATTAATAGACGGCCTATAAATGGGTTAATTTTGTATAAACTATTCAGAAGAACGTTCAGGCTGCAAGGGCAGGATGTGGCAGGTTTCAGATGGCCCCCATGCAACCCTAATTCAGCCCCCTCTTGGGCATATGCATTATGGCATTAAAGATGGCTGAATACTATTCCCTCTACCCCTTTAGTGCAGATCTGCTCTAGGGACGAATCAGGGTTGGGTAGCGAAGGAGGCTACCTGTGCAGGACCTGGGCCTCTTTTGCATAAGGCCCCGCGGGTCTAGAACCTGGGCCTGACAGACAGCAGCCTTGTGGCTTCTGATTGGCTCCCTGCCCTATGTAAACCCACGGGGCGTTCCAGGAAGTGTCCCACCACCGGTGTGGCTATCCTGTTGGTGCCATGATTATTCCTGCTCCCGAACGCCTGGCTTCATTTGGACTTTGCCTCCTGACCTGGACCCTGAAACCTAACTCGGAGTCTGTCCCTTGGTATCTACCCTGGCCTGGAACCTGACTACGAACTCCTCGGCTACTCCTAGGCCCAGGTTTGCCCCTGCTCTGACCCCTGGTCCTGACCGCCCATGTTAGGATCCCGACGGTTTGTTGCAGAAGTTGGAAGGTGTGTAATGAATGAAGATGGTCTCTTGGGTAAGGCAGCTGAATGCTGCCCTGGCGAATTGGATTCTTTTCCTGCCTCTGCCACCGAGTTCTTATGTGGTGCCGGGCAAGTCACAGAAACTCAGCTTTTCCCAGGTGGCCACTAACTGTGTGTTCCTCATTTTCTGGGTGCTCAGCACGAAACACATGGGGCTGGATTTGCAGAAGTGTTGAGCACGCACAGCCGCAGCGGAGGTAGAAGGAGCTGTCCTTTGAACTCGTGCTATGACGACGCGAAGGACTCTGGAAAACCGTGGCCTTGATGTCCCAGAGTGGGCACCCAAACGTAGTGGGTGCTTGGCCTTAATCTCTGTGCTTCAGTTCCCCGTCTTTAACAGAGGGTAATAATCCCACCTACTCTCGGGTGTGGGATGCAAATGAATGCCTGTTTGTAAAGCACTCGGATGCCGTGGTGAGAGAGCAGCATAGAAATGCCCCAGGAGGAAGTTAATGATCTTGTACTCAATGCAGGGTTTAGAAGAGCTGTGCTTAAAACAGGCCTCGGGCCACACGCTGAACGAGGAAGATGGAGAAAAAATAGTGAATAACTCTTCAGTTACTGAACGAGGCAGGGTCCTGTCGGGGGGTAATAGTCTGGGATCGTGTAATTAAAGACTGTGTCGTGACGCATGTGCCCAAGGGGGCTGGATCAACCTCAGACTGGCGGTTTTTAACGTTGGAATGCTGGAACGTTAAGACAGTGTAAATCTGTTAATTCAGGTTTCTTTGTGATTTCCTAAGTTTTATTTTTAAAAGCCCCAAATTCATCTGGAACGTATTGATCCCCAACTTGGTCAAGAGCAGGCTGTGGACCTTTTGATCCACAGCACCCAGACGTCTGCCACTTGAGCTAATGGAATAATAACAGCAGTAGTAGGCTGTCATCCTCTACGCAGGCTACGTCTACACCACCCGCCTGAATCGGCGGGTAGAAATTGATCTCTCGGGGATCGAATTATCGCGTCTCGTCGGGACGCGACAATCGATCCCCGAATCGACGCTTGTACTCCACCAGCACAGGTAGGAGTAAGCGCCGTCGACAGGGGAGCCGCGGAGGTCGATTTGCCGCCATCCTCACAGCGGGGTAAGTCGGCTCCGATACGTCGAATTCAGCTATGCTATTCGCGTAGCTGAATTTGCGTATCTTAAATCGACCCCCCTCTTCCCCCCTGTAGTGAGGACGTAGTCGCAGAGTCACCACTAGAGGGGAATGAGACACACACTTTCCGGTGGGCTTTGCAGATGTTTGCTGACAGCAGAGGGATGGAGAGATTCAGGACTCTGGGGACAATTATAGGTTTTGGAGGGGGAATGTGCTCTAGTGGTTACGCTTCCACCCCAAACCCTGTCTGTGTCCCCCAGCTCTCTCTCCTCCTTCCCACTCCCACCCATCCTGGCTCCGGCTCCCCGACTTCTAGCTCCTTCCTCCCACTTCTTCGTCCTCTGCGTTTGAATCAGGTGCTTCCTCTGTCTCATCCTTGTTGCCTGGATGCCAGAAGGGGAAGCATGAGAGTAGACAGTCTCCCTTGTCTCAGTTCTGGTGCCCGATGCCACAGTGGCCACCAGCGAGAGGAGCAATTGCAGGGAAAGTCCTACTCAGCCCCTGCGGCCCTGGGACGGAGCATGCTCAGTTGCTCTGTGGGGATGGCGTAGGTGCAGTCCAGTTGCATGGAGGAGCCGTGAGGGGCTAGAGCATGCTCAGTGCAGATGGCATCTTGGGAGAATTTAGCTGCCAAACTTTAACAAGTCTGTCCTAGTGTGTGTGAATTGAGAGTCCACCTGTGGCTCCCCCCCCCCTCCCCGGGCTTATAATTTGGCCAGATTTGGGTGAATTTTCACAGGGATGGCAAAAGACACGTCCCTGGCGCCAGGGTGACACCTCCCCCACATCCCCCCGCCAAGTTTCAAGTCCTTGCTCCAAAGCAGAGGCACCAGAGCTTCTCAAGAAAACACGGGGAAGAATTTTTTTTTTTTTTGCATGGGCAAAATGTATTTAGCTGCAACTTTCAAACAATAATTCCTCCTGAGGTGCGGCTGTAGGACACAGCCTGGAAGCGACCTCTGGGGTCATCAAGACCCGTCCCGTCGCAGGGGCACGGGGCATATCAGCCCGAAGGGTTTAAGTTTAGGAAAGTTACAAGCAACTGAAAACTGGGTCTTCTAGTGCAAAGTGTTGGGCAGCTTTAACTAGAGGTGGCACTACCAGCTCTGCGTATGATACCCGGAGTATAAAGTGTGACCAAACTTACGTGAGTGATGCAATGAAAGAAGACGGGACTTGGCTGGCGTACTTTTAGTTTTAGTCATGTTAGCGTGCAAGTGTTTTTGAGCACTTGTATGTTGCCGTCTTTGAATGTACTATCTTGTAGTGTCCTGCTATTCTGGTTTGTATTTTGTTAGCGCTTTCACGACTCTTAATACAGAAGAGATGTGCGCATAATTCCAATTTATTTGCTCGCATGTACTGGAGGATAAAGAGCATTCATCTGTTGACACAGGGAGAAGGCCCGGCAGCGGTTCAAGGGAGTATAATTGCATTTGATTAGTGCAGAGAGCTTGGCAGAGCGGATCTTCTGAGACTTCACCCTGGCGCTGATCTTTCAGAGTCAGAGATCAGGGACACGAGGGAACATCAGAGGCCCGACTCTGCAAATCTTCACACAGTTCTACAATGTAAGTATAATTCCCTGAAATGCTGGGGCGACTCATTACCTTGCAGCTCTCACTCCAGCTGCTGAGTCTAGCATTTGTTGGGTTTGTTAAGGAGGAGCTGAAGGCGCAGAGTGGCACCTCACTGTCCTTCCACATCTTATGTACTTTAAAAAAAGCGTTTAGCCTGTTTTTCTTAACTTAGAAGATGTTGCTCATAGAAAGTCCCGGAAGAATGGATTGAGCCGCTATGTAACACAGAGAATAGAAGATGGGACCTGACGTTTTCCTCTGGACTATCCTCCTTTTTTTTTTTTTTTTAATTAATGCTAAAAAAAGGGGAGCTGGCTCTGGTTTCAAATAAGCCTCCAAGCTGGGTTTGAGAAGCCCTTAAGCTAATTCTCGGGTGCACGTTGGCTGAGTTGATATCAGTGGGGATTGGTTGGGGTTGGTCCTGCTTTGAGCAGAGGGTGGGACTAGATGACCTCCTGAGTTCCCTTCCAACCCTGAGATTCTGTGATTCTATGATTGATTGATTCAGTGCTTCTGGCCTCTGAACGTGGGCAGGTTTGGGTGTTGGAGTTCCAGTTTGGCTGCCCTCCAAGTAAAAAACCACTTTTACTGGAAAAATGAAGTGAGCTACGCAAGATGGGTCCCGGTGACATCACAGGTACATGCGAGGTGATTGGTCATCCCTGAACTAGAGCCACATGTGGTGATGTGCTAGGCTCTGGAGCCAATCTGCAAGCCAGGAGCGGGTCTGGTGACTCTCAGGAGAGGTATATAAGCCTTGCAGGAGACGTAGCAGCTCAGTCTGCCCAGTGTCACATTCTGGGTTGGACCTGTCCCCTGTCTGATAGTGGTGACAGACTCTGCATGCCTTTGCCTGCTCCAGCCCTACCCGTGCCTTGTTCCGACTCTGCTCTTGACTCCTGGCTCCGGCTCCAACCTCTGGTTCCTGGCCTGGCTGCCACCACACTGACCGCTGAGCCGGACTGCCGCGGCTCCAACCGCTCGGCCTGACCCTCCATGTCTCAGGTTCTGGCAGTAGGGTCGTCTCGAGTTAAGCAATACCACGCATAGAATTACCCATGGTTCCAAGTAACTAGGGGTGTGAGGAAGGCAAATGAGGAGCGCTAGCTCTACTGGGAATCACCGCAGGTCCAAGGGTAGCCTGGTGATTAAGGCGCTGGAGTGGGATTTAGGAGATTGGGATTCACTTCCACGTGTCACGTAATCCTACACCTCCATTTCCCATCTTTGAATGGGATCGTATTCCCTCTGGCTGTTTGGACTGTAAGCAAGGACCATCTCCCACTCTGTCTCTACACAGCGCCTAGCCCAATCTCTGAGGCATCTGGGTGCTACTAGAATATTAATTCTGGTCCCAGCGATATGATGTAGGTCCTCAAGTGTGCATCTAACCTAAACAGCAACTCCAGGGGAGGGAAGTAACTCACGGACTCTACCATTAGACTGGCTTGCTAACGTAGAGGAATGTTCTACCGCCCGCTGATCACTGCGTTATAGACCTGCCATTTTAAAGTGATCTGTGACCATTAGCATTTTAGTCCACAGTGATGGAGTTCTGAGGAATGGAAAAGCCGCTTGGGGCAAGTCTTGCCTGCTTTAGAGTTAATGGAAAAATAAGCTGGTTAGCCTTCAGAATGTAATTCACAGCCCCTTATAGGACAGCTGTCTTCAGGTATGTATTTTTGCAGTGACTGTCGGAAAGAACAACACAAAGAGTTCCCATTGTGGGCGGACGCTGTGCATGGGCGGATTGTGTTTGATCTGAGTCAATGTCACATATGCTAATAACAGTGGTGTGGGAGACGGTTTCCAATGGGAAGCATTCACTCTGATTGTAAGAGTTGCGGATATACTTATGAATGAAGCTGCGTAGCTGGCTGGCCTTGCAAGGTTTTACACTTGGCTTGATGGCATTTCTCTGCTTGTAATGCAATAACTTTTGAATGCCACATCCAATTAATTCCAAAATTTAAGGGAATGTTCCAGGCATCAATGGCCAGAACGCTAATGACATTTTTGGGGAGGGGAACTGAAAGTGGAAAATGGGGGACATCCGGAGGAGCCCCTGGCATTTAGCTATTGGCTTCTGCCACCTCTGTAATTATTGGTTGATGGCAATCATTAGCACATTCCCACATAACAACCTCTCCTTTTAGCCTTGCCGATACTCCCAATAGAACCTAAAAGTGTTGACACTTCGTTGAAGAGAACGAAAGAAGAATAATGTATAACAAATGGAAGAAAGGGGAATTTGATAGTAAGGAATATAAATCAGAAGTTAGGAATTGTAGAAAATTGATAAGGGAAGCAAAGGCACACAAGGAGAAATCTATGGCCAGCACAGTTAAGGACAATAAGGAGTTTTTTTGAATATATCAGGAACAATAAGAATCCTGACAATGGTATTTGTCCATTACTAGAGGGAAATGGTAGAATTAACAATAATAATGCAGAAAAGGCAGAAGTGTTCAATAAATGTTTCTGTTCTGTATTTGGGGGAAAAACAGATGATATGGTCTCATCCTATGGCGATGAGAACACTCTTTCCATTCCAGTAGTATCGGTGGAGGATGTTAAACAGAACCTACTAAAGTCAGACATTTTTAAAGCAATAGGTCCAGATAACTGGCATCCAAGAGTTTTTAAAGAGCTGTCAGAGGAGCTTGTTGGACCATTAATGTTGATTTTCAATAAGTCTCAGAGTACCGAGGAAGTTCCAGAAGACTGGGAGAAAGCCAATGTTGCGCCAGTTTTTAGAAAGGGTAAACTGCATGACCCCAGGTAGTTCATGACGTGATAAAAAACCTAGAATGCTGTCAAATTAACATCATACACATTAAATGGATTTAAAACTGACTGATTGATAGATCTCAAAATGTAATTGTAAATGGGGAATTGTTCGCAAGCAGTGGGGTCTTGCAGGGATTGGTTCTTGGTCCTACGCTATTTAACATTTTTATCAATGACCTAGAAGAAAACATGACATCACTGATAAAGTTTGCAAATGACTCACAAATTGGGGGAGTGGTAAATAATGAAGAGGACAGGTCATTGATTCAGAGCGATCTGGATCGCTTGATAAACTGGGCGCAAGCAAACTGTGTATTTTAATATGACTAAATGTATACATCTAGGAACAAAGAATGTCGGCCATACTTACAGTATGGGGGACTCTAACCTGGGAAGCAGTGACTCTGAAAAAGATTTAGGGGTCATGGTGGAGAATCAGCTGAACACGGGCTCTCAGTGCGACGCTGTGGCCAAAAGAACTAACGTGACCCTCGAATGCATAAACGGGGATCTTGAATAGGAGTAAAAAGGTCATTTCACCTTTATATTTGACACTGGCGCTACTGCTCCTGGAAGACTGTGTCCGCTTCTGGTGCCCATAGTTCAAGAAGGATGTTGAGCAATTGGAGAGGGGTCAGAGAAGAGTCATGAGAATGATTAAAGGATTGGAAAACCTGCCTTATAGTGAGAGCTTCAAAGAGCTGAATCTATTTAGCTTAACAAAGAGAAGGTTAAGGGTTGACTTGATTAGTATCTACATGGGGAACTAATATTTAATAATGGGTTCTTCAGTCCAGCAGAGAAAAGTGTAGCACAATCCATTGGCTGGAAGTTGAAGCTAAACAAATTCAGACTGGAAATAAAAGGTACGTTGTTAACGGTGAGAGTGACTAACAGTTTACCAAGGGTCATGGTGGGTTCTCCATCACTGGCTTTTGAAATCAAGACTGGATGTTTTCCTAAAAGCTCTGCTCTAGGGATTATTCTGGGGCAGGTCTCTGGCCTGTGCCATACCGGGAGTCAGACTAGATGCTCACGCTGGTCTCTTCTGGCCTTGGCATCTATGAGAATAAGAATGGTGGTGGGAAGGGGGCACACAGATCCCCTGGCATGGGGCAGAGCGGGAGGGCTGCAGGGAGTCCCTAAAATAGATGGGGATGGGAGGATGACAACAGGGAACCTGTGTGGGGTGGGAGGGGGGAATTGAGGGATGTAAGGAGCCCAGATGGGCTTCTAATGGAACAGGTGACAAATGTGGGTTCTCTTAAAAGCTTATTCCATTCCATAGCTCTTAGTGTTCTGAATAAGAAAGCTGGGTCTAGCGGTTTCTGGGCTATTCTTGCCTGTCCCGAGGCAATACTCTTGTGAGAGTGCCTCGAATCCTCAACCGGATTGGTCTCTGTTCAAGCCAAGGTACAAACATGGCAAATGGCCTTCCCTGTCCTAAAGCGCTTACAACCCTAGAGTAACACAGAAAGCTACGGTCGGTTAAAAACATTCCCATCCAGCTGGTGGTTCCAGCTAAAGGTGTGGTGTGAACCAGTCCCAAAACTGAATGCAGGTTTGCTGGGCGAGGTGTAACAAAATACAGGAGAAAAATTAAGGGCCCCCTCCCCTTTTGTTTATAATCACGGAGCAAGTTTTAGTTTGATTTCTGACGTCTAAGAACAAAGGAATAGGATTTGATATAAATTTGGACTCTAAAAAAGCTGCAACATTTGCAATGTATTGTGTCTCTGGCTTGATACCTTTAACTGCTGATATGGTGGCCTATAATGTGGGGAGAGAAATCTATTGATTATGATTTGAATGTGTTTTTCTTAACCAGGGCTTGCAGGTTAGCCAGGCAGAATATTTTCCGTAGAAGGCAGAATATGTATTCCTAAGTATCTGAGAGTTTATGAATGAGAGAGCAGGATTGTAGGAATGTTCACAGTGAATTTCAGCCTACTGGATTTAAGGAAATAAATGTATACCCCAAAACCGGTGGCGTGGGGGATTTCTGTTGTCCTCCATGGCAGGAAGAGATCTCAGCTTTTGACACAAGTGCTTTGTTTGACATGCTCAGTCGAAAACTCTTGGGAGCGCTGAGTATATTGCTGGCACAAAGGCTTGTTTGGGAAAGTTTTTGATCTGTGTAAATGCCTTGGAACTCTTTCAAGCCACACAATTTAACAGCCAACAGCGAGCACAAGGGCAAA